TATATATATATATATATATTTATCAGCTGTTCCGTCCAGTTTTAAATATCTTTCCAGTCCGGCTCTTAAATATTAGTCAATACAAATGTAAAATCTCGTACGAATTAAATCAGAAATATTGAAACGATTTAAAAAACAAAGCCTGAAGCCTTGAAAGAATATAATACCCATCTGATTGTAATTGACTAATAAATGAAATGAAATAAACTTACTCGGCCCAAGAGGAGGCGGCGCTTCCATTGTAGTTATTGCCGGAGGTGGAGCTAAATATAATATAATATAATATAATATAATATAATATAATATAATATAATATAATATAATATAATATAATATAATATACACACTAAAGGGACGGAATATAAGATTAAAACACAGATTTAAACACACGTTAAGTACATAAACCGCTTAACTATTAATATAATTCCTGTTGAATTTGAAGGTATATCATTTTAACAGATACCCCTGTGAATTAATGTCGCCACTTCGTGGCAATTAAACCTCACCCTCCGTCAACCATCTTGATACAGTTTTTAAACGCGCACGACGGAAGTGCTTGAAATGATGGAGGGATTTGAAGAAAATCACTTTAAGCGTGAGTATCAGGACAGGAAGACCAATGGTCGGTAAGTCGCAGAAAAATACCGTTATCTACAGGACAAACCATCAGGAAGATTGAGCATTTCTAATAATCAAAACAAAAAATTATTAAATGTCCAAAAAAGGCGACCCGGGTTACGTTAGAATTGCATAATTTCTTTTAATAAATATCTTTCTATCTTAATAACTTCACCAACATTTGTGAGAAAAAAATTTGCAACATCTTTTTTCCACAAAGAAGTCATAGTCGTGAACACAATGTACGAAAAAAATAATAATAAAAAATAATAATAATAAAAGTAAAAAAAAAAAGAATTAGTATGAGATGACACATACGATGTGGACACTGTTCCGACCCGAGGGGATGCTGGGCTTGACACACAGGGTCGGGTTGTAGCCCGCAGTTGACACAAACCACGGGTTCCTGGCCCGGCGCTGGTGGGGTTCCTAAACTCGCGATGGAGGCCCACAGCGTTCCGATGGGACAAGATTTTAGGGTGACATTTTTCAGTAGGGTGTTGGCGAAGTCACACTGCCAGTAATAGGCGCAGTCGACGTCCGCGACGTAAGCGACACCTTGTGACACGTGCGGTTTGTCCACCAGGCATCGTTTCTCAACTTCTCCTAAAAAAATAATTTTATACTTTATTTGTTTAATATTGTGTTAATCGAATGGAAATAAATACTGCTAGTTTTCATTAATATTTCCCCCTTTGTGATTGCATTCCAAGTCCTTGATTGTTTGTCCTCCAAACGTGGCGATAAAAAACAATTACATGTACTAGTCACAATAACATCGATACAACAGTTTAACAGTTCTTTTTAAAAAACTTACCAATAGGTAAATGAGCGTAGGCAGCGCCTATCAGAGCTAGGCACACTTGAATGATCTTCATTGTGAACCGAAAACTAACACTTTGCATCATTCAGGAATATGTCTAGATTAAAATAAAAAAAAAAATCTATCGAATAAAAGAATTACATCAGGTTGGCTTATGTAGCTCATGTAGCTCTTTCATATGTAATGATAAATATAGTAAATCACCTCCTGTTGAAATTGTCCACTCTTTTATCAAGAGAATGTGTGGTAAAGGGATTTGCAATGGTCAGTCGAGAAAAAAATAGATTCCTTTTTATCCGTCCCTTTCCACCGCCCATACACGAACGTCTTACATGTATCTACCGAAAAGCAAAACCGAGTACATACCATGAAAATAATAAGCTTATAGTTTAGACTGCAAACTGACTTGCCTTATTATATGTCTCTTACCTTACCTGCAAACCTGTCAACGGTAGGAAGCAGTGAGACGCCCAACGCTGCCGCTCGCTTCTTTTATCCTTCTCCCCTGCCAACTCAAGCGGGGGAAATCTTAGATTCGCGATACTAAGAGCGTTGTTTTATCACTGGTTATGTCTCTTTGGTTGCCAAACGATAAACAAGGGCGATGGAAACCAATTTAAATTGTTAATTTCAGAGTAATGAAGGCCGGGAAGGGTGGAACACAAAAACACCCTTTTGTGTAAACCATTTAAGAAAAGATAAATGAGGATCCTCTTGAATTGATAAAATCATATTAAAAATAACGTGTCTTAGATTAAATTGAGTCTGTTGTTAGTCAAGTTTTTTAAATTTACCATTGAAATTCAGATTTTACGATTAAAGGGATAATAACTCTTCGTATGAGATCTATATTTCACAATAAAAACATTGTGAACAACTCATAGAAATATTATATATACTGTTGTACAAGAAAAACGGCAGTTATAGCTATTATTCTGATATCTGAGCTTGTCTTTAGACCACGTGACCTCTATTGATGGCTATACTCTGTTATAATCTCTTAAGAATTTATAACAAACAAAAAAACTACTTTTTAGAAAAAACAAGGGACTAACTTTGAATGTGAAAATGGATTCATTAACCATTGGTAAGTACGGGGAAATTGTTGTTTACTCCAGGAAAATTCATTTTTTGGCCAAAGCGAAGAGTTATTATCCCTTTAACTGCTTCGAACAATTTAGCCCCCCTCCCCTTACTAAAATGCATACGACAGCCAATATTGCATAATTGATGCTAATGAAAATGCTAATGTATGCTTTTTAAGATATAATATATTGCCGACGAACTGTTTTGAAACCATGGGTGATTATATCATCACATATAACTAGGAGAGAAGCTAGGATAGACTGTGCATGCGTCAATTAGATTAATGGTGCTAGTATTAATTGTTTCATGATACATGGCTTGTTTAAATGCTTAGTGCCATTGATAAATTCATTTTTGTGAAAATGTATATAAACCGTGCACCATCCGAACAAATAAAACAGAACCAGCAAACCTCAAACCTGATGGATAAAAGGTTGTAAAGCCTGTCACAGCTGTCAATTCTCTGTTGAAATCTTAAGAAATTTGACAGGTAAATTTCAGTTACTTTTTCTATATCCACTGAAAAATGAAAATCTCTTTGTTTAAAAAAGACACCTTTGTGTAGTACCAGTTGTGCAAGTAAATGTGTGCAAATTTCGGTACATTGTCGACTAGTTAGCTCTTCTTCTTGCTACCACATCTATTCTCATAACAAACATTGCCGCCGAATCACCAGGTCCAGTATCAAGATCGGTGAAAGTGTTCTTAAAATTTCTTTGCTGCATCAAATGAATGTAATTCATTTTCACTTTTGCTACTCATTATAGCCTCTCTGTTTAAGACAGTTATATATCAGATTTCTTTTGACAACTGTCACATTGAAATCAAAAATGAATATCAAATCATAAATTTTCAAAAACGTTCCATATAATTATAGCAAGAGTGTATGAATGTTAATTTGACAGTACTAGTTTTGTTTACCTCGTGTCCATTTATTCAGAACGCCTTTAATAAGGTAAAATGTGAACTGCGTTTTTTTTTTTGTTTAAATGTTAGGATCAATTTCCAGATATTTATAAACTAAAATCATTGTAAACTCGTTGCAAAATCTCATGTAACAGATTGTGCATGTTTACTGTGCAGTACCACCCTCCCTTAATTGACTCCCTGCTTTTTTCCATCTGACGTACACCATCAGTATGTTTTATTTTTGAATAATTTCGAAAAACAGAGATTTTCAAATAAGTGTGCTTCATGATAGGCCCAAACCTGAACGTGTTACTCCCTGTGTTTATTCTGCTAAGGAATAGATATCGAATATGGCAGGGTCTGCAAGGTAGTACGGGGTAACACCAAAGGACGCGAACGCTACTTTGCAAGAAGCAATCTTTGTCTTTAGGCAACATTGAAAATAGAAAAATAAATAAATAAATAAATAAATAAATAAAAAAGAACAATTCAATGAATTTTCAGCATCAATATTTTCTTGCAACTTACTGTTTAAAAATGATGTTGTAATTTTACGAGAAAGCGTAGTATTGAGATGACAGTGGAAGTGTTTGACAAAATATTTGAAATGTACTGTATTGTTAATGGTATTGTTTGGATGAGAAATGCTCCCTTTTTTGGCGACATCAACAAATACAGTGTCTCGGTGCTGCCGAATAAAACTAATCTTTCTCACACAAACCAGACACAAACTGTACACAAAATAATAATAATGATAATAATAATAATAATAATAATAATAATAATAATAGAAACGTAGAGTAAGAGCTATTTTAAAATAATTCAGAAACTAAACCTCTCTTTCCTTTAAACACAGACACTGCACAAAAATCAAAGTATACAAACTAAATTTTGAATTGCTTCTAAGGTTTATTCAGAATCTCTGCGTTTAGCACAGGATTTTATTTCTTTTGTACTACGGAAACAAGTTAAGACATCATAATCGTAAATTCATATCTTTCCAGCAACAAGAAACGTGTCAAACACGACCACGTTTTTTTTTCAGGAATTAAGTTCTACATCCGATTATCAAAATCATCATTGGAACTTAAGAGTCCTGTTTTATACATAAAGATGTTCTCTCTGCGGGACGCGATTATCGCCGTTTCTCTCTTTGCTGGGGGTCTGTCGTCATTATCGATAGCCAATAATTATGACCACGGTGGTCCATAGTAGTCAATCTGCATATCAGCTTTGACAGCGTCGGCGTTAGGATACAATTTGTCGGTAAAGAAGAGCTGAAAATAGATGAGTAGAGGTAAAAAAGAGCACATACCCTTAACCATCCCTCATATTCTTATTTTTCATCAGGCGTAGTTGGCCACGTGTCATTTAACCACCCCATCTTAACTTAGGAGAATTTTCTCTGTAGCAAAATACGCTATGAACAGCAAAACGCAACAAAACCAAAATATGTCTTCAACCATGGGCCATACTGGTAAGTATAATAATGAAACCCTCCTAGTCTACCTAGTTTATATATCTTTCTTGCATTACTGTGGGTTATTTTTGATTCGCGTGANAAAATTTTAACTAAATGCGTGTTTTGTTTCTATATCAAGTGTACCCATGTCCACAAGTAGAAGCGGTGGATGGAAGCAGTGGTTCTGATGTTCTGGTTGTGACCAGTAGGCCTAAACCACAGCAGGGACTTAATTGCTATAAAGCAGACCGACATACATCTCTAAACAGATGGAACTTATATTGTCTTTCATTAAATAACATAGAGCTTTACATTTAACGGCAAGACACACTTTGAGAAGGAATAAGATGAAAATAACATGGGTTGGCATCCTAAAATATAATTTGAGTATGACTTATTACCCTCTATTCCTTTGGAAATTATATATATATATATATATATATATATATATATATATATATATATATATATATATATATATATATGGATCAACCATGATGATGTGCGAAAAGTAATGTATATACCAGTGCTTACCAAACAAATATTGCCAGAATAGCTTCCTGGGAGACCTGGTACGCTGTATTTGGGTGGTACGTGGCCGACGAATAAAGGCTCTTGTGGCTCACAAACAATTGACCATATAAAATCGTTGTCGGGGTCTGAAATAGCATGTTGAAATATATCAGGCAGCAGCAAGCTTACAAATAATTTAGTTTCAAAAATGTCCCGTAGATTGGGAATTGGCCAGGGCCTGTTTATATTTATTGAAATCGCTCTAGCCTGTCTGTTAACACGCAATTCAAGCACTTTTTATATTTATATGGGAAAGCTAATTTAAATGTCTGTGCAATTTGAATTTGGATGAGATCTTTTCAAGTTGGGTAGACATACTTGTCCAGGATTCCTTCCATCTTCTTTAATTGAAATTAAATTTGATTCGGATTAAGGTTTTGCATTTATCTGGATTTGGCGGACTGCAATTTCTTCTGCAGATTCTTAATTTTTGACTTCGTTCGGTAATATTTCTCTCCCATGCTTCGTTTTTTAAGTTTAATAAAAATCGAAGGATGGGAGGAACAGTTTTAAATCAATAGATGTCGGCAAGTCACGGTTCAATCATTTTTTGTGCTTGTTTCACTGTTAGAATCCAAAATCACAATGTAAACCTCTTTGTCAAGTAGTCGAATAATGTACAAAAAAGACCATTCTGAATCGTGGACTATACAACACTGGTCAAAAAGGTTGTCCCACCCCCATTTCCATGTATTTTTATTTACAAATGATCACCTCACAGCTGTAAATTGTTAGAAATAGTGCTTTTTATTACAGATAACCTTTTTGAACCTTTTTGACCAATGTTGTAAGTTCGTGAGGAGTAAAATTCTGTATATAGACCAAGATGTATGATTTACAGTAGGTACAATTTCAAAATCCGTGGTAGGAGTAGGGGTTGCACTTTGCGATTGCGTAAAAGCAAAGGCCTGTTGCGCTTATTAAAATAAACGAACATAATTGAAAAGTTGTAAATTTTGCCGGTACATGCTACAATTTTTATTTCCCATTTTACATTTGCTCCACTGGAGGTGCAATGGTCCCTTTCCACAAGACAATCTGAAATAACCTGATCCATTTACAGAATGCTCTTCATTTCTTCAGATTTTTAACATCGATATCATTATCAATAACAGAGCAATTTTACAAAAAGCTGTATATTTCTTTGCAGATAACGATCCAAATATGTCAGTTGTTTGCAGTACAGCGATGGTTGTTTAGTACATGTACTAGTAGTTAAGTTATTTTTCGTTATAGTTAGTGAATTACATGTACCTGTATGTAGGCATACCAATCCCTTAGTCCATGAGCAACTTCGTTAACTTATATAAGATGTGACATAATACATTTAAGATATAACTCAATGCTTAGACCTTGCTTACCATCTGGTACTGTAGCAGAGTCCTGGTACACGGCGCCGCCGGCGTATACGGTGAGGATTAAGGTCTTGCCGTCCCATGTCACGATCACGCCTATATATCCAGCCCCTGGCGCCTGCAATAACACACGATTGTTCATACTGATTACAAATTATTAAATCAGCTATTTACCTATGAG